ATCTTTAAAGAGCTGAAATTAAACTCACTGAAGATCCTGTTTACAAAATCCTCAATTTAAAATCCTTGTTATGTTGGAATCTCTCAAGGTAAAGAGAGTAGGCTACTCCACGATAAACCTGGTTCATGCAAATACTGGCATAATAAAATGGTCTGAAGCTACCACTTCAGAAAATCTCATGTAAGTTTATAGTAAAGCTACTTAGCTTTTCTAGGGAGCTTGCATCAAGAAGCCTGCGTGGGAGGAATATTTCACACAACAGATAGGCTTGTGGGAAGTGGTATTCAGAGACCGAGAACTAGTTTTTTAATCGACAGAAATGAGTAGTGTCTGAATGTTAGTACGTGCTGCTCAAATCAGCTCAGGTAGCATTTAAGAGAAGATGAGGAAGCCCGGAAAGTGCATATGCTGCAATAACAGAAAAATGGTTCATTATTTGAAATAAGCAGACAAATATATGAACAAGGGTATAGATCAATAGGAAATCACAGAAAAGGGGGGGAGGGGAACAGATCAAGACTGGAGAAAGTTCAATATTTCCCTGAAGAATAATGGGCTAACTAAGCAAGGAGCTTAAAGTTAGTTAAGGCAAAGTTATTTGTCACTTTGTCTCTTGCCATAAATATCACTGTGTGGAGCAGAGCCCAGGAACACCTAAATAACTGTGGAGAAGGCTGCCTTTATGAGAAAGGTTGCCAAATTGCATATTATCACTGGCTACAGTGAGCTAAAAGCTGGGTATATCGATATTAAGAGCTAAAAACGCTACAAGAAACCGCACAATGCTGGGTGTGAATCTCTCAGTGTACCTTCATTAAAAATCTAACATAGATAATTACCCTCCCTGCTTTTATTGCTATTTAATGTTGAAAAGCCTCTTCATGGAGACTTCCTCCAAATAAGGGAAATTACTTGGGTTTTCTTTTTTTCAGAGAGAAATTTCAGAGAGGAAATTTTTTTGATTCCTACTTAAGCTTCTCAAAGGATAGTGCAAACAAAGAAGAGTGAAGTGGATCAAACTTACAGAAAGTATTTAATGTTCTTTTTATAAAACAGGAGAAATGAGGGACCTGAGCTTCTGAGGTCCATTAGGAAGAATTGCTTTCATCTTGAGAACGGTCATAATCTTGCAGAGAGTAGGTAAGGGGGCATTTGTGTCCATGTGAAGCTTCAAATGCAAGGACGGCTAGGATATTATGTTTATCGTGCCTTTGGCAGTCTCTGAGGATGGACAAGTTGTCTATATTTGTACACGTTTCTTTCCCCCTAGTATACCTCAAATTAAAAGTCATTATTCATTGCAGGTAGAAAAAGTGAAAAGACTTTCTTTCAGAAGGCCTGGAATCACTGATGGTGTCCCAAGATGCAGTGAAGTGAGTTACGTAAAGATCTTGCTACTCCTGAAAGAAGAAAGTCAGCCAGCTATTTGCTGTGTTTGGAAAAAGGTGTCCCAACTGGTTTTGGCCGGACATGATGACGTCCCAGCAGAAGTGCGTTTAGTAGGAATAACTTCATTCTGAAAAGAGCTTCGAGAGAAAAGAGTCTTTGGAGAGAAACGGAACTCACCAATTAGAAAAATGTCAGCAATGCTTAATCTTTGTACAGGAACCACACAACACCATAGCTGGCTGCCCAGCTTTTCAATGTTTGCAAAACATTGTTCCACAATTAAGGGAAGCTTGCAAGTAGTTGAATTTGAATGCTGTAAGGGAAAGCACATTTATTTTAGTCTATGTGAAGTGAAAGGAGGAGCTACTTAAAATTGTGTAAAACTGTATGTTTCACATTCATTTTATGGCAGCACAATGACTTATGAATTCGGAGCATGGAACTCTGGTTTTAGAATGAGCCAGGGACTTTGTCACGACAGGCTGAGAATTCATTTTATAATAAACCGTGCTGCTTAATTCATAAAATAATGTTTGGTGTTCGCTTCAAAGAAATTCTGGATGCTTCTATAGGTTATTAGTATAAACAGCTTATTATTTTATTTTCCCATTGTTGGATACTTGTTGTCATCTTTGTGATGAAGAGGTAATTGCACATTTAGCACAAGTGGTGTTGCTTTGTTTTGTTTTTAAAGTAAATCTTGATGTAATGGAAAGAAGACAGATTTGCTGCAACTAAGAGCAGTTCTTCTTTCCAGTCATTGCCCCACCAAAGAAAGCTGAGTGTGCCTTTTAACGGGATAAAACTTTCTCTGCCTTCATCTGTTACTTACCTCTGTCTTTGACTAGAAATACTGCTTTTGTAAAAGCAGTACATACCCATTTACTTGTCTTTCTGTGATTGTCCAGGATGGCCAATGGTGCCCTCAATGATGGTGGATTTTGTCATGCTGGTATTTCCCACAAATAACTGATTTGAAACTGCGGCACTTTCCACAGAACTGCCAAATGGTATTACCAGCAACAGCTACTGTATTTCAAAGTCAGTCTCTAGTAAAATAAAAAAAAAAAAAAAAAAAAAAAGGCTGTATGTCCTTTTCACAGACTTCTGTCCCCTGCCTTTTGCTGGACTTTGTAAAGCGCTAGTTTTAAATGTCTGAGAGTATGTAGTAGAGTTGCTCTGGGAAATTTTAAACCAGTAGCTGTGAAATAGTACAAGTTAGGTTAGAAAGTCAGGGGCAGTACATCTGAGAAGTGCAAAATAAAATGTATGCTCTGGAAGTTCATTTGGTAATTTTGAGAGTGGAATCAAAATTGTTACTGTTTTGGTTGTTAACATTAGGATCTGCAGGTTTATTAACTGCTCTGTTTGTGCCCCAAATGGAGAGTGATGCATACTAGACTGTAATCCATTTGTCTGTTATAAAACTTCTGCTAAAAACCCATGAAATTTCCGAACAGAAGCATTCATTATAAATCTCTAGAGAAATTAATATTTCGTAAGTATCGTTGTATGCAATGAGCTATCATAGGGCATTCTAAGACAAGCAAATGAGGAAATAGTTGTCTCTAACATGCAACTATGGAACTACTGGATAAAAAATTTCCGCAGCCAATGCAAAAGTATAAGGAATCATCTTTGTGGCCCAAGAGAGCCAAAAAATATGAGCTCAGGTCGTAGTCCTGCCAAAGTTTTGCTGTGTAACCTATAGCAGGAGACATTGTTTTTCCAGCATAGATTTTTCTTTCTTTTTTTATCTAACAATGTTCAGTGTAATTTGTATTGTTTAAATCAAGTTTATGCCTAAAACCTTGCTACCTAGTTGTGGGCAGCCTACTGTCCTAGTAAGCGTGTCATACCAGGATGGAAGTGGCCTGCGTATCCATAGTCTTGAGAGCTGCAGCCTGTCGTCATAGTGCTGGGCTCTCCATGGGCAGCGTTACTTCTTCTGATTCAGACCTTCTGGTTAAAATGGCCTGACACCAAATAAATCCAGTCCTTCCAAAAACACATATGGGCCCAAATGTATGTTTCCTCGTGAATTCTGGCAATGCAGGACACTTTGGGGGTGTGTGTTCACTGAAAGTGGAACATCTCTCTGAACTGAAACCTGACGCATTCCTCCCCTTCCACTTCCAACACAAAACTGTGGATGATGTTTGAAATGATGGGACTAAAGGTTTCCCTGTCCCTTGCAGACAAACAGATGTCAGAATTGAAGTTTCAGATTATACTGTTTAAGAATATCTATTTTCCATGACTGAGGTTTGGGGGATAGTTCATTTAGTAAGGCTGACATTGTCAGTTGGCTGCTCTCTACAGTACTTTCATGTGTAAAAATAAACTGCAGGTGTTTGACACAGATATGTCAGGATACTTAACTTTTGTTTAGGGTTTGCAGATGTCATATGTGTTATGGGAGCTAAATCTCTGTGCGGGGGGAAGGAGAGAAGAGGTACATGGCATCAAATGCAGAGAACCATGTGCTTTATGTGACTGATATATCCTGACTTGTGGATGCTCTGTCCTTTTTGTTGGTTAAGAAGAATGTGCTTCTCGAGCTCATTTGTTCCTAAGTAAATAACATTAGTAATGGACTGCTTCTGTAACGGAGACGTTGAGAACCATCATCTGTTACCGGTTGGTGAAGGAGTTAAACACGTGGCACGTGGTTTTGTTCATCTTCTAGCAATGTCCCCATAAGAGGGGTTCTTTTGTAGCAGCTTTGCTGTTTTAACAGCATGGCTCTGCTTCTTGCTGGAGCATTATTTGTTCAATCAGTGCGGCACCTACTGAGTGGAGCTAACTTTGGGCACGCAAAATCGAGTTCTTGCTTCCAGACTGGGCTTATGAAAGAGGTTTTTTTATAGCAGATTGGTCCAAGTCCTTAACCCCTTTGAACTGTTCACATCCTCTTTAAAAGATGTGCTGCAGGGATTTATGCCTGGCTTTATTTTATTTTGTCTTTGAAGCAATAGCAGTAATGCTATCTGTTTTGAACTTTGCAAGCCTTGAAAAGGGACAAGGTTGGCTAGTGTACCTAAACAGTGTTTACAGCTGTGTTTCATTCGATACACTTGATGGCTGGCACTTGTATGACGGACTGATTTGTTCATTTTCGTAGAGTAGTACCTGATTAAATTTTCTGTTGACCGTGGCTCTGCTGAAGTTACATTGTCCTGTGCATCATTTCGTTGTCTCAGCTGCTAAATAATTACTTCGGAAACCAACTCTCTTACTTTTTTTTTTTCCCCCAAAATACATTTATGATGAGGAGAAATGAAGTAATGCAGATTTTTACTTATTAATACAGAGGTTTCCTACAGTTTCAGGATTCAATTCCAGGATCATCCTCCCTTCTCCTCACTGCTTCTAATCTGATTTTGGTATGCTGTTTAGTAGGAAGTTGTTATTATGCATAGTAAACATAGCATGATAAGTAACGTAAGATTTGTTTTGTAAATTGTGGAAGTAAGCCGCGTTCTGGAACGTGTGTCTCTGGGCTCTCTAGACGCAGCACAAATTTAAATCTATAATAGTTAAAAAGTTAAACCAAATTATTATTGGTTGATAGATGAGTAATGTATGTCTCCTGTGGTTTATTTGTCTAGGGAAACAGCAGCAGCTGGAAGCTGAGCACCAAGAAGTATATGTGGAGGCTGATCATGACCTTCACACAAAGACGGGGCGTTCTGAGCAGCCACCTGCAGAAAGACCTGGGGAGAGGCGAATGGCAGAAATGAAGAAACTCTATGGTGCTGGAGCTGCCAAAATCCAAGCAATGGAGACTGCCATGCAGCTTACCTTTGACAAGAACTGTGACAAAAAGCAGCCCAAATACTGGCCCGTTATTCCCCTCAAGCTGTGAGTACCTGGACTATGCTCTGACCTGGCACAGAGTTGTAGTGATGTGTGCCTCAGTCAGGTTTGCTTATGATTAGGGGGGGAAGTGGGGGTTGTTGTTTCTGAGGGGAGGATTAGGAGAAGGGGGAAGGAGCAATGGTTCTTTGCCCTGTGATCTCTTTATACTATCTGTCAGTGATGGTCACAGTCCATTCTACATGCATATGCTTGTCAAGTTATAAAAGGAGGGATAGTAATATTTTACCCATCTAAAGTCATAGTTTCTCTCATTTGATGCCAGCCTGCCTTGACCGTGCTTGCAAGAAATGTAGCACTATTCATGTACGCTCTGTAAAATTTACATTGGGAAAAGTTAAAGCAGTGCCAAAAAGACGAAATGAATTGTCTGCTCTTCCCATCTAGGAAAATGAGTAGTCCCAATTTTTTATTATTATTTAATGTAGTAGCATTTGGATCCCATTTAACACAGCACAGCTTGAAGTGTTGTGTCTGCTAATCTTTGATTTTTTGGGAACTGGGAGCCTATTGGCCTAGGTACAACATATCAAATTACTATAGCCCAGCCATTTATATTCTTTTTGAAAGGTTTATAGTAAGTCAGGAAGTTTTTCTTCCAGACTGATACTTAGCTGGCAAAAATTCAGCCGTAAAGCCAAATTATATATAAAGATGCTTTAATGAAAGGGAACAAAAAAAAAATGCCTGACATGGCACCCAGTGTTAGAAATCTGTTTAGCAGAAGAGACTCTTGAGAAGAAAAAGCACTGTTGGGGCCAAAGCCAAGAGTGATCTTTGCCATTTTAATAAAAAGCATCTGATTGGTTTGATGCTTTAAGGAAAAAGAAGAACTAGTCTGATAGCCTAACAGTACATCTGTATGTTGTATGTGCAGGTTGAAAGCTATGTAGCTGTGAGAGCTACATTTATTTCAGGTGCAGCTTCCCAACGACAACCCGTGTGTTGTATGCACACAACTTAAAGGCAAATTAGATGTGCCTCTGTGTGTGCTCATCCATCTGCACAGGCTGTTTGCTTCCAGTTCTGTCACCCTTTACTTTTGGTCATCTGTGCTTGCCCGACTAGTAGCTGGTGTGGTGGAGGGAGGCACAACTGGTCTCTTTAAGAGAAGCAGAATTAGCCCCTTAGTATTAGTGACTCCTTGGAAGATGGTACACTGACCACTCCTTCCAAAAGCTTTCTGCAAAGCACTGCTGCTATGTATCTTCATGTGCTGAAGAGCTGTAGTTTATATTAAGCAGCAGTTCCCCACTAGGGCAAAGGAAAAATATACTTTTTTTAATTCTCATAAACATTAATGTGTCCTTCTGGGAACAGAGGATGTTCCAACTGAAATTCTTACTGTAATTCATGCCCATTGGGTCTTCTGTGTCTCTGTAGCATGTGCAGTTTGTAACACGCAGCTGTAGTTGCTCTGCCCTCTGCAGCAACCAAAGCAAATCTGAAGTGCAGTTTGGAATCTCCTTGTTCTTATCAGTGTTATTATGTTTTTAGAAGCACTGTTTTTATTTCCGTTCCACCTCCTTCGTTTTAGCGTGATGTGATAGAGTTAAATTGAACACTGAAATTAAAAGCCCCCAGCCTCCAAGACTTGTTACTGGTGTGACTGATCTGAAAAACTCCTGTGTGGCAGAAAAGGGAAAAGGGTTGTGGGTAATAGTCCTGTGTTTGTCTTCACTCTTGTTTATGAAGGAGTTGGTCAGCAACTTGGTGTTTTGCTTTATTTTCTCTTTGTTTACCAAATAAATTCTCTTCATAACATCTTGTAATTGATTTTTTTTTTAAAAAACAACTGGAGTGTTAGAGAAGTATGGAAGTTTATCACATGCTAAAGCTTTCTCTTAGCTGCTATATTTGTTAAGGAAGGTTGCACTGTGAGCAAACACAGTTTTAACATAGTGAGAAGCACAAAGACTGTTGACAGGACTTTCACAGGAATGCTGATCAGTGCCATGCATGCATGGTATGGTACAAAGTGAATGAGAGTTTTCGCACCCGCTGAGGGAAAGCCCTATCCCAGATTATGTGCATAGATCTCTGAGTTTCCTCTTTGAAATGTGCTTCCACTGTAGTGGTGGTTTCTCCCCTACACAGTTCAGTACAGAGGAAAGAAGGGATGAGTTGGACTGCGCTTTTCTTACCTTTTGCCCAATTTGCAGTTCTTACCTTGGATGTTTCTGCAACTTGTTCCGCTAGGAGAAGCGGAAATTCTGGTATCCCAAAGTATTTGCAGAGACGCCATACAAGGCAAACTTTGCATTCCTTTCCCAGTTCAGATAGAATATACAAGAAATGTCTTTGCCCTTAGTATGATTGTTTGCAAGAGGTTTTACTCTGCTTCATGAGGTTGGAAGTAAAAGGACCTGGATGTAATGTTCCCAAGGGACTATGTACGTCCTAAGGCCTGGAAGAGAAGAATACATTGTTGCAGACTTAAGTTGCTTTCAAAAGAATCTATTGCTCCAAATCTCAGGGTCAGGCTGTTGCTGGCGGTTGGCCAGGAATACCGTTTCGCTGGTAGTTCAGTGGAACTTGGAGATTTTCTGGTACAGCTATTCTTATTCCATCTCCCCTGTCATTTTACAATTCCAAGAGATATCTCACATAAAACATCTGATCATGGAAGCAATACAATTACGACTCAAAAATGCTCATTAGTTACGATGTCTGTAACATTCGTCCTATCTTGCACGTGTGTACTATGCTACAATCCTCAGTCATGGGACTGCATTTTTTTCCCCCTCAAATATGTTGTTATGTCAGCCTCTTGAATAGAAGACAAATGCTGTATTGTGGAGTTGATTCTTCCTTGTCCCGAACGTTATGCCGTTGTTTTCAGTTATGTCACTTGCTTGTGCAGCGCCGCCCCTTGGGAAATCTTCACTTGCTGATGGTGGTATTTCTCACAAGCTTTTCACAGCTCCAACCGAAGAAGGCGCACTCTAAAGTCACAAGCACAAATTGTCATACAAACAACTAGTCTTAATTTCAGAAGCTTGATTTCCCCATCTGCTATGTGGAAATAGGCAGACCAGCCTCACCTTCAGAAGAAACATTTATGATTGGTTGAAAGATGCTTTTGAAGACTGAGGGGAAAATGTTAATAGATCTTTCTTACTGTAAGCATCTGGGGGAAAAAAAAAGCCTTTCAGAACAGGCAAGTGTAAGTTTAACATACAAGTGAAGCATTGACTTCTACTTTTCGTACTGAAAGAAAAACTGCTTACATGTCTGCATTGGTGACATTGGCAAGAATGTTTGTCCTTGTAAAATTAGTTCCCTGTAAAGCAGCTTACAGTTTGGTATGTCTGTATATGCAGGCCTACTGAGAGGAAATTAAAGAATTTTGACTAACATAGCTTTTATTTTACCCTTACTGTGTCCTTATTAATAAGGATTCTTCCTCTTTGATGGTAGTCTTGTATAATGACTGCCTACCATATACTCAGAAGGAGCTAAATATTGCAAAGCAACTTAAATGTCTGTAACAGCCTTTGTGAAGGATAATACATATGTAACCCATATGTTGTTCACTCTTACATGTCTTTTTCTGTTTGCCAAAATTTCTGTTAGTCCTAAAAAGAAGTATATTTCAAATATCATCGTCATGTTTGTGTTAATCAGGGTACAGTTCTGTGAACAGAAATTGAGAAAAGCAAGACACTTTGATTCAGCTGTCTAAGTTTGGATTTGTAAGTATGATTTATGGTACACTGACCTGAATATTTTTGCTGAAAGAAGCGGGGCCAAGATTATTGCCTAAAATGTGAAATACAGCCTCTCAAAAGGAAACATCTAGACAGGAAAATACCTTGTTTTCCTTAGTATTTTCTCCAGTAAATTATGCTTTTGAGAAACTGTATCTGATGCATCATATGTTCATGCCATAACAAAAGTTTGTCTTCGCATTTGTGTCCTAATTTATCAACCATCTAGCCTGTCAAACCTGCTCTGTTGTCTTCTGTAATCATGCCTAGATAGTCCAAAGGGAAAGTCTCACGGATTTCTTCCTGCGTACAATAGCAGCCTATAAGGGAGTTTCAACCACTGCTGAAGGGAAACTATACCTCAAGTACAAAGTTGAAGACCTTGCTTCCATTTGTATGCTTTTATATAGCTGCAGTTGCTGAGCTGGTGCACAGTGGCATGTGTAGTGGAGCTCCAGGTAGGTGATAGACCACGACATTCATTCCTGTTCGAGTATTCTCTTGACACTTGGCTATTTTAGCAAAAGAATTCTCTGGACTCGGTCCATTCCTCAAAGCAGGTGTGCACATGTACATCAAATGTTAATTTAGGCAGGGCAGGACCAGTTCAGAGGTCTTGCTTGACCAAATGTGCAGAAAAACTTGCTCATATTGAGCTCTGAGTTTATAGTTAGGATTCTCTGTAAATAGACTCTGTCAATTACACAGTCAAATAAGGACTTTTTTTTTCATTTGAGCGTGAATAATTTTGCTCTAATAAAGCAAACAGAATGAATGAGAACATGTCTAATCTTTGAAAAGAAAATACTTTTCAGCCTAATGATGCCAGTGCCACTGATGGTTTCCTAAACTACGCTGAGTTTTTTGCCTCCAAAGCCTTCTGAAAGGCTAAAATACACAAAACTACTATCCCCATTACTGTTATTTGCACCCACCCCAAGTAAATACATTTGTGGGGAGGAAGGAAAGCAGTGGAAAGGATTAATAGGGCTGTTTTCCAAATGGGGCTCAGAGTGGTGGTCCTAAATTTTTTAACTTTGTTCTAAATAGAGCAACAGAGTACCAAAACATGGGCTCAGTAAAGCAGTGAGGCAAGAATCTATCAAAGGCTATTAAATATGAAGCTACAACCCGTCTCTCAGAAAGTCCCTAAGCTGCCCCTTACTAGAAGCTGGGAAGGGATAATAAAATACTGCTTTATTTGTGGACTGTTCTTATACTCTTCTCTAGACAGCTGCCATTGGGAGATGGTATAGGAAGCTAAGCACACCTTTCATTTATTTATAGCAATTTTTAGAGCCTGTCCCTGTGCTTATGTTGAAGATCAAGAGTGAGATATTGGCCCCAAGGTTCTTTTTTCAGCTGTCCCACACATCTTTTTTTTCTTAGCAACAGGAATCACCCCAATGGCTCAACTCTGCCAAAGTCTGTTTCCATCTAGGTCTGCCAGCAGCTCTTGAGTGTGTGATCACTCCCTAGCTGTTAAGTCAAAATGAGTTGATTTGGTAGAGCCTTAATAATACTAAGCTGTTTAAAGGAACCTAGCTTATTTGTAGTGAAAAGGATTAAGGGAAGCATTCACTTGTGCAATCGGATAAGCAGATCTATGGAGGTGGTAAACTCCACAGGCCTAAGAGTTCATAAGGCCATGTTGCCATAGCTAGAAGAGAGTGTATGAACACATTTTTGTAGTACCCAGAGTCTTCAAGACTTGTTCCCTGCTTTGGTATAAAAAAAAGCCTTTGCATTTACTTCCTCAGGCCTTTTAGCCAGCTTATTCTGTTACAAAACCAGTAGAAATACATGTGCTTGTTTTCCGTGTTTAATGTAAAAGGTAAAGTTCTTTTTGGACGAATCCACAGAAGGGTCGGTTCCAGGATTTCTAATGATTTTCCTTTTTACTGTCTTCTCTGTAAAAATTACTGTCCTGACTCTGCAGACATTGTGCTGAGGAGCGTACTTAAAAGATTCAGATTCATACCATTTGCTGTGGTGTGAAATGTACCAAGAATTGGAGGACCGAGAGTCAATCAACCGTTTTGGTCTAGACGTGTACAAACATCCAGCAAGAAAAAGTCCATACCATGTATTTCGTTAATGTTGACTCTCACCTGGCTAAGTCTTGTTCCTTTCCTTTGTATTGGAAAGGAAAAGATCTCCTGGGTCATCCTGTCTAGTTTTTGCTACTTCAGGCAGTGCTGTTCTCTAATCTGTTTCATAAACTAATTAGACTCCATTTTAAAACAAATTCTGTTTCCCGCCACCCCCTCCCTACTCATGCTAGTTAAGGCTGCATGGCCTGCTGCGTTCTTACAATACATGGTAAAATACTAAGACTACCACACGTTTATTCTACGTTGGCCTTTGTTAGACAGCTCCAAAAGTCTAAACGCAAATATAAATTAATACGTGCTGGGTTTTTGTATTGATTATGGTACTGTAATATCCTTCAGTGGAACAGCAGGAAAGAAGTTACTGTTTTGACAGAAGTAAATGCTTAAAGTATGTTTTTCACTTAATAACACACTGGAGGTCACACTTCTGATCTGTAGCACACTAAACTGATCAAGTAATGACTGAAGGCTCCCATCCCACTATCCTCCTTTCATGCAAAATGCTGAGGCTGAACTAAAGCCTCAGCCAGTTACGCATGCAACGACTGAAATGAGCTCATAGCACAGAAGTTTAATGAGTTGCTGTAAACAGAATAATCCTTCCTACAAGACTGTGGAATATAAATCTGAAATCGACCATAAAACAGAAACAAAAACCAATAACAGGCATTGCCCAATTATTACAAAAGGGAAAATAACACCCTTCATGATTAACTCTCAATTTTCTATATATGTGTTAAAGAATTTAGGATTTTCAGTGATGTTAGCTCACTCTGCCCTAGGGACAAGGCAGAAGTTTTTGTTATACCCAGTCTTCCTGAGTGTAGCACCACATTTTCATTTGCACTGCTGTGCCACAAAGCTGAGTCTCAGCGATGCCACGGCCAGCTTTTGGTCCTGTTTTGATTCCACTGGCCCAGGCGTTCCAGGGGAAAAATGA